GCAATGTTTTTATAGGATAATTAGGAAAATGTGCTTGGAAGCGAATAAGCATAGATATAAGATTGGCAAACACCATGTTTCGAGTTGATAATAATGAAACATGTGATTGTTTACGAGATGCATCAGTAAGGACCAAAAAATAATGAAATGGTCCTGATATTGGATTAATAGGACCACAAATATCACCATGCAATCTTTCAAGCATTGGTGGTAATTCTTACGGAAGTTTTCAAATTGAAGGCCGAAAAATCATTTTACCTTGCACACATGCACGACATAATTTCATAGAGTCTACATCTACAAGCTTTAAATTGTGCCCAGTTATACATGGAATGATCTTCCTAAATAATGTGGAACTTAGATGTCCCAATCATCCATGCCAAAGAGAAACACGACTCTCTGAGATAGATGATGCAAAATTAAATATAATGGGAGGCCGAATGACAATTCGATATAAACCATTTTCTGTATTAAAAAGCTTTTTCAACAACTATATGGTTCTTCGCAAGAACCAAAACCTCTTTTCTATTTAAAATGGCAGTCGAGAGGTGATAACCATTAATATGCACATCTTGATAGCTTATCAGACTCTGAGGTGTTGAGGGTGCAAACATCGCATGTTTATATTTTATGATGGAATCCACTGGTAATTTTACCATCGCTGTGCCTTCTTGGAAACAAAACACATTTGCTCCAGCCATGGTCATCATATTTTTAGTTTTCCAAGTTGAAGATTTTTTAATAAAAAATCGTCTATCTCGCAAGATAGTATGTATTGTTGCAGAATCAATGAGCACATCATTTGATTCATCATCAGAGGTTCTATCATTCATATAAGCCTCTAAGTCATCAACACCAATTGAATCCATGGACGCATCTATGGTATGAACTTCACGAGCCTCAGCTTGTAATTTCTTATTTTTTTGGAACATTTTAATAAAATATTCTAAATTATGGCACGCATGTGCTAAATATCCAATCATTCCACACTTATAGCATGAACGCATCTCTGATTTTTATTTTCTACTATAATTAATAGTAGAACGTTTATTCTTTCCATATAAATAGAAATGGTCTTGACTATGACTACCTTGATACTTATGAGCACGTTTTCCATGTTTATATAATTTCTTCTCAGACTTTGAAGTATTAAGTGCATGAGATTCTAGAAATGTAGTTCCAATAGGACGAGCTTTCGCATTACGCAAGAGTAGCTAATTTTGCTTCTCCGCAAGAAGTAGATAGGACATGAAATCAGAATGACTCTGAAATTTCATGTTCCTGTATTGTTGTGCAAGTACAGCAGATACATGAAGAAATGTAGAGAAAGTTTTCTCAATCATTTCTTCTTCAAAAATACTTTGTCCACATAATCGTAATTGTGAGACAATATTATACATTTCACCATTGAAAGCATTTAAATTTGGAAAATCCAAGATACGTAAATGTATCCAATTATGACGTGCACGTGGAAGAAAAATGGTCTTTTGATGATCAAACCTAGATTTAAGATTCTTCCAAAGTTTTGCAGGATCTTTCATTTCCAAATATTGATGTTGTAATGCAGGTACAAGATGACCACGAAGGAGAAGAAGTGCTTTCCAACGAATAGCATGAGGTATAGAAATGCTTATTATAAGAGATTCTTCAAACATAATAGCATCTGAGAATTGTTCTGCAAATAAATTTGCTTTTGCCATTTTTGCCCATAATAAATAATTGTTTCCATCCACAGTCAATTGGTGGAAATAAAAGAGCTTGAAAATGTTGGAATGCAGTGGTAATAGTTGGAACCATAGTAGAAGCAGTTGAAGATGTTGAAGCACTCATTATAAATAAATCTGTAAAGAAAATATAAGATCAAGTAGAAAAGTTGAGTAAAGCGTACCTTAAAATATAAAGTCAACTAAAATGATAAACTTGAACTTGAAAAAATATATATATATATATATATATATATATATAGGAGATTGTAGATTAAGGCAACAGAACAATAATGAGATGGCGCAGCAAGCAGCAGTAGGGTGGCAGGGTGGCAGTGGTGGATAGCGACGGCGAGCAGCAACGGCAGCGGTGTTAGGGCGGCCATGGCAGCGTCAACAGCAACATGGTGGCAGCGACGGTAGTGGTGGGTTTGGCGGCAGCAAGGAGCAAGGGCGGGGCACTGCAGGGAGCAAGCTGAGATGGAGTTGGGCTGGATCAAGTATTCTAAGCAAGCAGGGCAGAGAGTGGAACAAGTATTCTAAACAAGCTAATGTGTGAGGGGCCAGTAAGAAGAACAAGATCATGAGGCAGACACTAAGCAAGGGTAGCAACAGGTTTGAAGAGTCAAAGACTAGAGCAAAAAATTGTGATAGTGTGTAGAAGAGAGTCGTGCCGATAATGTGTTGAGAATGTTTAGAAAGACACAAGAGTAATAGTAAATCATACACACACACAAGAATAGTAGTAAGTCATATACACAAGAGGGTTTCTAAGGAGAGAGAGAGCTTCACATCCAAAAATCTATTGATCTGGTTGTGTCTCATCTACAAAAAGAGAAAAGATGAGAGGATAAATAATACTTCTCCACTAGACTCTAAATACTGTAGTTACAATATTTACTGTAGTCTACAATAAATATTATGGAGAGCGCGGGCTACATTTAATGATCTCAACAATGTTAATACAATTTAGGGTTTGCAGGATGGTAGATACAAATCTTCTTGGCTAGTATACTCTATGATACTTTGGTAGTTGGTACTTAGAAATTTTTGCAAACTTGAATGATTTGACATTTTTGTTCCAGTTTTATTTTTGAACATTATATTTTATATAATGTTGACTGAAACTGGTTTGGGTATTTGGCACAGTAGTCATTGTTCAGTTTGTGAATGGAAAAATATTTTCATAAAAAAAAAAAAAAAAAAAAATGGAAAACTCACACCAAACTCTATGCCAAACAAAAATTTAATCTTAAAATTTTAAATGATAACTGCAGACTCTAAAAACATTGTTTAAATAATGTCCATTCATATGTATTCAAGTCATAATAAAAACCAAAAAGTATAAATTTATTTATATTGATTGTACCAAAATAAAAATATGTATACATGCACCAAAAAGATGTTGCTTAATACAGGTGAGATGGGAAACATGCATGAGTGCATTAACAGATACAGTTACAATAATTATAGATCCCTTCAAATTTTTTGCAAGTAAGTTGAAGTAAATATCAGTTATTTGTTGAACACACACACACAATTATATATATATATATATATATATATTCATATTACCTAGTCATAATTAGTTCAGTTGAAATATCTTCTTGTAAAAGAATAAATATGTAAGAACACCTCTTCATAAATCCAATATAACATTGTTGGTTTTAAGCAAAGGGAAGAAACCTGTATTACATCACTTCATGTGGAAACATTTATTGAAGCCATCTAAAATTCATTGCTGTTCCCATGAAATGCACACTCTTAAAGAGCTGTCCAGGATGGTGCCACACAGTTTGATTGGTGACATGGAAGAGTTCTAGCATTGGTTCCCATCTCTCATGGAAAGTTGTGAGAACATTGAGCACAAGTCCACACCATGGAGCTGGACCCGACCCCCCCACACAGAAGACCTATAGAATGGGTGCATTAGGGTTAGGGATTGGGTCCCACTGGGGCTTTCCAATTTCACTGGTAATTTCTGCCAGAAATAGTGCCACTGCCCATATCCATGCCCATGCATCTTTCCAGCTTCACATGGAGGAACTGAATGCTCTCCAGCACACAGGGATGTGTCTCATTGGCTGCCCTCTTGCAGAGTTGGCAAAGATGGGCACTGTCGTTCAGTTTGCAAATCCCAACCTTTGCACTTTGGGGTGAAACATACTTTGATACTTGTTTATTGTACATCCATTGATATGGTTCCCCTTATTTATTTGACATTAACTAGTGTGAATGCATATTATAAGTTTATTACATTCGATCCTTCAGAATCATGCTTGTATTTGGTTTAAATATTCAAATTTTAAAAAAAAAAACGTTATTCTAAATCTTAATCTAACATTTATAAAATCCGATTAAAGATTTTGAATACATGGAAAAGCAGAGTTTTTTGTAATTTGTTTATGTAAAATGAATACCCAGAAATTTTTTTGCTGTAAAGCCATCACAAAAGTGAAAAAAAGAAAAATATTAAGAAGTGTGAAAAGCATGTTACTGTTACCTTGGACAATGAGTAACTGGAATACTAAAGTAACAATCTTGCAATTGAAACAATTGTTATTGGAGGACAGCATTTTGAAGTGTGCCACTATGTACACTGTTGATTTGTTGAATACAGCGTATGTATAAAAAATGTTATAAAGCCCTATTTTCAAAGTTTTTAACGTTGTAACCTACAGATCTCCATCTCGTATATTTTATCAACAAAGTTAAAAAAGAAACCACATTTATTTAACACATGCTTCTGATTATACTTTGGAACTTAAGTGCTTTTGAAACCCCTTCTGCTTTGGGCACTTGCTACTCTTATATTAACACAGCTTTATATTTTCTAACATATTATGTTTTGTAACGGTGTACGTGCAAAGATGTAATCAATTGACATCAGCATTTGCAGAACCCTAAAACTAATTATTCCTTGATGGAGATGAACGTATATAATACATCATCTAAATGATGAACTACATCCAACGAACCGTATATCTCATCCACGACGGTATCAAGCCCTGGAAGGCGATACGTGAAATCCAAACTAACGTTGAAAGGGGGGAACAGTGACTTAATGGAAAAGAAACAGAAGGTTCCAGATCTACCACACTAGTGTGGACCAAGCGAGAGAGGGGAGAAAGTCATCCGACTCAGCCCCACCATGTGGCTCGGTCATTGGTCGCAACGCCATACCCCGCATATCTTATGCAACTAAAAATACACGAAAATCGAGTTACGCGATTCCGAAGCTTGAAAACCGAATCTGAACGGGCTCCGCAACGTGCATCAGCTATAAAAGACTGACTTGCCCCTGGAGCAGGCCATTGCGTCGGCGGCGAGCTGCTGCTGGGCTGGCCCGCGTTCCTGCGCTCCGTTCCCTCAAACCATCGGAGTCCACGCCGAACAAGGCAATGTTACTTGAAAATCAATCGAGGGTCAGCATCAGCTCCTGAGTCCACAACACAGCGCGTGGTGAAATTATGTTTTTATCAGGTGCCTACTCAGAGTTTTAGAGATAGTCGACGACGTCATCTCCGTGGTGGCATCGTTTTGTCATTCTGTCGGTCGAGTTTGGTTGCTTGCATTTGGAGCGCAGAGTGCTGTACCCTGATTCTGGAGTAAGGGACAACGAGGGGAGTTGCAAAGCTGTTGCACGAATTGGCATGCTCATCGCTTGTCTGGCGGCGATTGGGTTCATGCGATTGGCTCTGTGGGGGCGGAGTGGACAAGAGCGGAAGAGGAATCAATAGGGAAATCGTAAAGATTTTTCGGTGCGTAGCTCCATCTCCGCGGGGAGCAGGTTTGAGGGGAAGAGGAAGGATAATGTGTAGGTGAATAGGTTGTCTTGTCGATTAGTGCGGCGTCGCTGCGAGTTCCGAGGTTTTTTGAGGTTGGAAGTCGGTGCCGATTTCTTTCCGTAAGGGCGGTTGTCAGCACTGGAGGGTTTACCCCTCAGTGTAGTTAGATTAGTTGCGATAGGTGTCAGTTCGGAAGGAACGCGAGGATCTGAAAGCGACGAGGATTGTGGATTCGTGGCATTGCTTACAAATGTTAGTATGATGAGTACCCCCCAATGGTGAGTGAACAGAGAGCGCGTATAGTACGCTTGTTTGTTTGTTTTTGTTTTTTTTCTTCTCTCTCTCTCTCTCTCTCTCTCTCTCTCTCTCTCTGTCTTCCTGTGCGTATGTGCGTGAAACGTTTCTGAGTTGATTTGTAAGGAGTTAAGAAGAGGGGTGAGAGTTGATGTTGAAGCATAGCTGGGTGAGTGGTGCAGCCGAGGGCAGTGGGAGGTCTTCGCACGTGTTCGACACTGGGAGTGTCTTGCTGATTAGAGGCGACATACTCCCTTGCGCGGAGCGCTGACACGTCGCGGACAGCGGACGTTGTCGTGGCCAGGGTTTAGTTCATGTGCGTGCTCATTTTTCGATCCGCATGAACGAAATCAACTCAGAAATGAAACTTAGTATTTGGTTTGTTCAGTGCAATTACGTTGTCGAGTCCGCATGATGTAGGGGATTGTAATCTTCAGTTCATTGTACCTGTTTCTCACTATATTCGATAAGAAGTCTTTTTTCTGGCACACGACGTGCGTCCGAAAATAGTGACGATTTTTCTTTTGTCTGCATAGGGGTTCACATGTTTCATCAGTCGTGTCTTACATTTTTAACTCGCCTCTACGGCAAGGTGTGTTTCGTGATTTGTGGTGATTTCCTTCCGCTGTGAGGATTTAACTTGGAACCTGTCGATGAAGCCAAAGATGTCTGCATGCATTGAGACATGTAGTCCTCGATGGAGAGGAATTTGTATTGTTTAAGAGCATTTCTTGGTCTGTAATTGTCTTGCAACTGTTGGAACTGGTATCTCTGGTTACTTTCACTCGCCTTGGTTTCGCAAACACTTAAAAAATGCTTTATACTTAGGCGTTTCTCCGACTAGAAGTGATGTCTAAATAGCTTGAGCATGCTGAAGTCAATGTTTATCAGAGGACGGTTACATGTGCTTTGTGTATGTGAAACGCATGGTTTAGGTTTTACGTCAAGTTTAGATGCTTGCATCTGGAATGGAAAGAAGAGTTAACGGGTTCTCCCATATATTCTATTCTGGGATTTTATTCCGTAGATTTTGTAATTCGTGGGTGCCTTTCACGTGAAATTACCTGGAAAGTAGTTCTTGATGTGTGCTCTGCTTTGCATTTGGAGGCTTTACTTACATATGTTTAAACGCCCCTGAGCTATGAGGAATGAAGCTTACGTCTTCGCGTGGTTTTTCTTTGCCCACCTGAGTCTTTTCGCCTGAATTCTACATGTGTATCCACACAGTCTGTATTTGGCTTTGCTCCCTGTGGAAGATTGACAATGCTGTCCCCAGGTGGTACCAGTTATTTTCATGCCTCTCTGTGGGTGGTCCACGTTCACGAATACCACATTCGAGATTTTAACCAGTATGTTTTCTGATGCAGATGTCCTTTGTGAAGAATCTTTAAGATCTAGCCTGGATCAAACCGTGAATTAGACAGTGGATCTTGTTCATCTTCAGTCGTCACAATGGTACCTGTCGCCTTTTGGTTGTCTGTTGCTCTGGAATCATTACAGTTCTTGTATAGTCGGTCGTCGATTCATGCGTTAAGTTTCAGAGAGTATTCGTAACTCTAAGAGCCACTGTAAACGTGTTTGGTTTATCTTGCTTTTAAGTGACATGCTTTTTACTCACTGAGGTGGATTGGGTTTGAGGTTTAGGTTTAATGCAATGTCACTAAGAAATATTTTGTTTTTCATTTTTGTGTCTATTGATATCAAGTTGATTAGAACTTTCAAATGTATATATTTTCAGGTTAAGTCTCAGAAGGTCCTGGAGACTCAATTCCTGCATGCAAATGCGGATGAAAGCTCAGCATTGCATGTTTCGAAGTCTGTTGAGGGTACCAAATTATTGTACATTTTGGTTCAAGATGAGCCTGCACCGGGAGCAAAGGACGTGGAGCAGGCCCCATCTTACCGTTACACACGGCCAATGCTGGCGAGTACGCTTCAGCTTATGGGGTGCAAACCCCGACATTCCATCAAGGTATGTTCAGTAAGCCTCTGTTCAATACAATTCCAATAGATAGCTTTTACTTCGAATTACTTTCCATATTGTCCAATCGTCTCATGCCGTGAAACACCAAGATTTCATGGGTACTTCTGTCTCTGCGGATTGCAGCTGGAATGCAAACTATCTTTTTAAGGCATCGAGCCTTCTGTAAGAGTGAGTATTTTGGAGATCTTATGATGTGTAATTTCTCCAATGCAAAGAACTCATGTCTGGAGTTGTTGTTTTAAATTGCCATGATTGTGGAACTTGGCAGATAAGTGATCGCGTTTTCGAAGTGATCCGAAGCCAGATGCCACCTAAACAATCCAAGAGAGATCAATTCGTTGGGCTCGCGCCTCTAGCGGATATGGATAATAAAGAAACGGAAGAGCATATCACGAATGGACTTAAAGTGGATCCAAAACCACTGAAGAAGCGGTCGACATTTACCGTGAGCAGAGAGAAATTCCTCGATGTGGTGTGCGAGGGACTGGCACAGCACCAGTACTTGGGTCCCAAACAGCGGACTGATCTTATGGTCGCTTGCAGGTACGTTCCTCCTCATTGTCCTGTATTTGAACAGCATTTTGATTCCTATACACAAATTCGTTTCACTTGAGAGTATTTGCGAGATCTTTTGGAACTTGAAAAGTTTTTAGAGATGAATTACGGTCGAAGGAGTCGTAAACAACTGCCAAGTAGAGGGGGTCAACTTTCTCGACATTTTTTCAATTTTTTTTACTTACCGTCGACGAAATTCCTTCAATATGCTCTTTGAAAGAGGTGTACCTTGCATTTTCTGGAATCAGGATTCGAGAAAAGAGGACATCAGTGACTGTTCTACTTTGTGGAACGAGTGGCTGCGGGAAGTCCACGCTGGCTTCTTTACTGGTAATGTTTCCTAGCTCATGAGTTCTATTGATCTGTGATCTTGCTCAGTTCGCCTTATCATCGCTCAACCCATGAGTTGTCATATGAACGAATTAGGCTTTCTTAAATCGAGATTTGAATCCAGATCAGTTACTATTATTATGTAAAATCATGAGTTGACTCAGAATCGTGGGTTTCTCAGGGACACCGTCTTGGGGTCACCACAGTGGTGTCTACTGATTCTGTTCGGCATATGATGCGAGGATTTGTTAGCGAGGAGGAAAATCCTTTGCTTTGGTCATCTACCTACCATGCTGGGGAGTTTCTGGATCCAGAGGCAGTATCAGAAGCGATTCAAAAGAAAAAAGGACATATAGGCATTTCTTCAACAGGCTCCTCAACTCCTATTGACTCTGACAGTCTCACAGAACTGGACCCTAAACTTTTTGGTAGCAATGGAAATGGTACATGTAACTATGGCAGTCAATGTAGTACCAATGGAGATGGCTCTAATAGTGATAATAAGGGCAAAGGGGTCGTTACAGAAGATGGCCCTTGTTTGAGGCCTTCTGGGAGTGGGAAGATGGAGAATGCTGAGTGCCTAGTGAGCGCTAAGGTGATGGCAGTCCAAGGTTTCAAGGCTCAAAGCGAGATGGTGATGGACAGTCTCGACCGACTCATTACAGGGTGGGAGAAGAGGAGAGAGTCCGTTGTAATTGAGGGTGTCCATCTAAGTCTAAACTTTGTGGTAAGCATTTCTGACTCTAGCACTGTTATTTATTGACATGATCGTTGCTATGTCGTGCAATGGTATTCAAGGTTGTCCAACTCTATCATGGTTGTCTTACACACCTGAATGTCCAGCACTCGCAAAGAAATACTCCATAGTGAATAAATTCATTCATGTTTGATGGTGAATTGAATCTTCAGATGGGTCTCATGAAAAAGCATCCATCAATCATACCGTTCATGATGTACATCGCTAACGAAAGCAAACACATGGAGAGGTTTGCAGTTCGTGCAAAGTACATGACATTAGATCCTTCCAAGAACAAGTACGTGAAGTATATACGAAACATCAGAGCCATCCAAGACTATTTGTGCAAGCGTGCTGATAAGCATCTTGTACCGAAGATCAACAACACCAATGTAGATAAGAGCGTGGCTGCCATTCATGCAACGGTTTTCAACTGCCTGCGGCGAATGGAAGATGGAGATATGCTGCTTGATCTAAATACAAACACTGTCAAAGTCGTTCACCAAGAATACTCAAAACAGTATACTGCATCAGCCTTGGGGTCTAAAAGTATGTTCCGATTAATTCAACGTCAAGGGTCTTCCCGAAACCTGCTGGCTATTATGAATGATGATGGATCTGTGGATAAAGCATGGCCCGTGGAATGTGCAAAGAAGCCGGAGGCCAGTGTATTTGAACACAAAGTGGTTGGATCTACACTTTATGGGCCGCTGTCTGTTGGTTCTGCTGAACCTGTTCGTTTGCAGTTTGGTAATCTTGGTTTGAGTGCCTGGAAAAGTGATAATGGGACTTCTAGCGAAGATAGCGGCCCAGGAGTTACCTCCTACGGTGGTGAAGGTTCCTTCGATAATGGTGATCTCCGTCATGCAACAGCTGGCTTCTCCGGAATCGGGACAGATAAGGAGGTTGGTAATTGTTTTGTGGTTCAACATTGTTTAGCGACTTTAGATTAGGTAGAAACTTTCGTGATAATTGGTTACTTTGAAATATGCTTGCATTTTATGTTTATCCTCGTCTCAATTGGGTCATTTGCACAATACTAAAATTTTAGTCAACTTGTCTTGCAGCTCAAGGTGGACATCGAGGTTAATGGAAGTGATGAAGAGTTGGAGGAAGCTGGTGAAGGTGCTGTAAAAGGAGAAACGAGCGAGTCTGAGCTGGAACGTGTGGAAGAGGATGAAGTAAGCTGTTCATAATTTTCCTTGTCCATATTGTTGTAATTTGCCGGATGGAAGCATTTAGTACGTTCTTTAACTCCACCCAAGCTTGCTCTGTAAGTCGAGCGTACCATAATATACAAATGGGCAGGAATGCATAGTGTACACATCTGAAATCGAAGACGCCAAAGATCAGGTTGGCAGGTCAAGGAATCAAGGTCGTGAATCATATGTAGTCCTTTGTGATTTTGAAGATTTTACGTTACGTCATTTTCAAAATACATGTACTGCCTACCTGACCACTTGTGGATGTTAATGGAAAAGCAGATGGAAGGGTCTATGGATGATGACAGTGGCCGGTCCGAAGGTGAAGGTGACGATGACATTGTTGCAAGGGAAGAGGATGATGCATACTGGGAGGTCGAGGATTCTAGTCCTTTACAAAAAGCTTCGCCTGGAGTTCTTGTTAAAGATAAGAAATCGCACATGTTACGATTGCGATCTTTTGATAAAACAGCTGTAGGTCGTGCTGCGCCAGTACTTCGAAGATCAAACTCTCACAAGATTCGGTCATCTTCAATAAAAAACTCTCCGAAAAGACTTTCGCCAAAATCAGTAATCCAGGCAGCATTCGCCACTAAATTCCCGTAGCTTCGTTAAACTGCCGTGGTCTTGCACCTTGGAAGCGGGTTTGTAGCAGTTCCTCTCTTCGTTGTAGCAGTAGACATTGAAGTTTTGACGCACTATTTGTGTCATTCTGATTGTAACATCAATTGTACATATGGTTAGTGAAGTATCAGATTTCTGCCATCGTGCAGAAATCACCTCAACAGGTATTATCGGAATTTCCCCGTGTTATATCAACTCATATGTCCCACTGGCACTCCATTTTCAATTATTATTGTTGAAATCTTACACATCATATGCGATCATAATCTATTGCCATCATATGAAAATGGCATGGTAGTAAATGCTATAAGTCACTTTTTGAGATTGTGACGACACTTGTCGGTAGAGGGTGTGCCATCATAATCTATTGCCATCAGATATTTTTGCTTTGAATGTGCCATGCGTACGTGGGAGTACCAAGCAGAAGTCGACATTTGCACTGATATGACAGGATTGTTTCAGGGTTAGGTGTGATGACATACAGTCATTGTGACATTGCTGTTTTGAGTGAACAGGAATACTTCACTGCCTCATATCTGCTCACACTAAACTACTGAAATTGGCATCTTTGAGCAGTTCAAAATCTAAAACTAACGCCTTTTGAGCTCAGGGATATTCCACTCAATTCAACTTCGCAATCGTGTCCAAACGTGAATATTGTCGTTCTCAAAAAAGCTCCTAGAGCATGAGCACTATTTAATGGATTGAATTCTACAAAATTAACAGTATGATTGAATACATGTGATTCTAAGCAGAGTGAATCAGAAATGCAATAATGTTTTAAACACAAGCGTAAAATCTTATGCATACAATAATGATGTAAAACCATAATATGTGAAACAAGACTAGACTATTTCAAAAACCGAAGATCCTTCTAATCCACTTCAACATAAAGCCTCATCAAAATAGACAAAATAGACCAAAAAAAAATGAAATGAAACTAAACAGAATAGGACATGAAAGTCAAAACTAAGCAAATAGAAACAAAACAGAACAAATTTGAATAGAAAGATGCAGAACCAAACTTTATTAAGAGAAAGGGTCCAAAACCACACTTGACTAGATGCTCCAAAAGGCCATGGCTAATCCTATTTATACCGTATCCTATCACTTTGGACTTTCTAGAATGTTCCTAGGTAGTGGATCCTACCTAGATAACTACCTTAAATTCCTTTTCAAGAAGATTCTATAATAGGCCCTATGTAGATAACTGTCCTAAGTCTTTTCTAAAAGATTCCATGATAGACCCCACCTAAATAATCACCCTAAACTCTTTTTAGAATGTTCTACAATGGATCATATTTGATCTACTAACCTAATCTTAATTCTAGAAACTTCGATAGTTCTAATTATCTATATAATTATCTTATTTATACCTTGTTGTAGTTAATCTCCCTCCATTAATGTAGAACGTCTTCGTTTTGCTCCCAATGGTATCTTTGAATTGTCTCTTGGCAATATGTGAGGTTCTATGCAAGTTCCCATGTTGCATTGTGAATATAATAACCTTTCCAAAGAACTTTGCATTGAAGTTGTGGACGTCCACTACCACGACAAAGGTAGCAATGTTCCAAGATGTTGTCTACTTCATATTCTTGTTGGTCATCAATTACAACTCGTAGTAGTGGTAGTTGATGTCAATCTAAAAAGTGCTTTAGCTTGATATGAAATTCTTTCAGTTGCGAAACATGAAAGACTTGATGGATCCAAATATGTGGTGGAAGCTCAAGGTGATATGCGACATCAAAAATCACTATAGAAATGTGGAAAGGTCCAAGCCACCAAGGTGATAGTATATGAATTTAGGTTGATGTAGCAAGTGGCAAGTTGGCATTGGAGAATAACACTTGATCATCCTCTTGGAAGGTCTTGTGTTGCCGATCGTTATCTTCATACTACTTCTATCAATTCTATGCAATAAAAAGGCAGTGTCGTGCCTCTTATAAGGCCATTGTAAGCCATTATGTAAATTCTTCTCTTATCAAGTTGTTGGTGTCGATGGGACAATTGAGACTTGCTAGTGTAATTGGATGTTGATTGGTATTTAGGAAAAATAGTGAATGATTGGTACTTGCTTGAAAAACTATCATTGTAAGTAAATTCCAAAGGCATCAAGTATTCATCCCAATTATTATGATGAACCACTACAAATGCGCGCAACATATCTTGAAAGGTCCAATTTGCACGCTTTATTTGGCCATCTGTTTGGGCATGGAAGGCTATAGATATGTCAAGTCGTGTACCTAGTAGCTTGAATAAGGCTTGCCAAAAACTTCTTATAAAGCATAGATACTAATTTGAAACAATGACATGAGGTAATCAATGGTGACAAAAGATAGTATCAAAGAAGATTCATGCAAGCATTGGGGCATCAATATCCAAGCGCACTATGACTAAGTGAAGTTGCTTTGAGAGTCGATCCACAAAGACAACAACCATTATATGATTATGAGGTGTTTGCGGCAAACACGTAATGAGATCTATAGTCACCTACTTCCAATATGTTGTAGGTAGTTGAATTGGCTGTAATAATCTAGGAGATGCTGCTTTATGTGCTTTATTACGTTGACATGACTTGCAGGAGCATATAAAGGCTCAAATATCACAATCCAATTCTGCTCAAAACCATGTCCTTCAGATTTGGTTCAAAGCCTTTTCTCATCTTATATGTCTAAATATTGGAATTTCATGTTCCTCTTGAAGTATGTGCTTTTAGAGTTTAGTATTATCAGGTAAATAAATTTGCTTCTTAAAATAGAGCAAGCCATCACTAAGAGTATAATCTTGATAATGTATATCGCCCACCTTCAATTGATTACTAACCATCTTGAAATAAACATCTCGATGAGTAGCTTCCTTCCATTCTGCCTCTTTGGTTAGATTTGAAATGATACTACTAATGGTAGCGACTTTTGCCTTATCTCCTGATTTGTCCTTCAATTCTGGTCTCTGCAATAAATTTTCTAGAACAATATATTGTCGCCTTTGCTTGTAGTCAAGTTGGATATAAAAAAGCTACAATTGTTCTTTCCAATGATGATGCAATAATTTCATATTTTTCAGATGTAAATCATGTATCAAGGGTCGATGGTCAGTCCAAACAACCATTGGCTTTTCCAATAGATAGTATCGTCACACCTTTGTGGCATGTACAATCGCTAATTGCTCTTAATCATATATAGAGTAATTGCACTCTGTCCTTCTGAGCTTGCATGATAAATATGCTATAGGTTGAAGGCCCCTATCAAAGTCTTGTTGAAGGACCACTCTAATAGCAAAGTTGGAAGCATCAATGTCAAGCATACAAGAAACATTAGGATCATACAATTGTAATATTGGAGCAGTAATGAGTGCCTCCAATTTATCAAAGGCTTTTTGTTGCTCTAGTTTCCGTTCAAATGGAACATCCTTCTCCAATAAGTTTGTCAATGAGATAATAATTTGAGCTAATTGCCTAACAAAATAGGAATAGTATTCAACAAGGCCTAAAAATAACTGAACTTGAAAAGTAGCTTTAGGGGTTGGCCAATCTTCCATTGCTTTTATCTTATCTTATTCTATATGCATGTCTTTAGAGGACACCACATGCCCCCAAAAAGAATTTATCCAATGTCTTCCGTAGCTCTTCAAGTTCTTTTGGTACTAAGCAATAAATTAGTCAACTTGCTAGTTTGGCCTCAAGCAATAGTTGTATTTGAAAGGAGGCACCTCGATCAAAAAGTATGCCACTAGATAGGTCGGTTGAAAAGACATCTTGATATTCTTGTATAAGTTGCTCTCCTCGTTCTATTCCTTTGGCTATCTTTTTCACCACTGATGTAAGATTTAGAACCACCATATATGTCGGTTGCTCATGTTGTAGTAGCTTCTTCATAAACGTAGTCCCTATAAGTAAGACTTTAGTTGTAGATTGTCTTTTTTCTTCACTTGATGCAGACGTGCAAAGAGTCACCTTGCATCTTCCATCCTTAATAGAGATTGTTCTTGCTATCAATTCAACTTGCTTATTTTTCATCTCTAGCAATGGCATACCAAGGATAACATCATAATTTAGGTTTTTCACCTTGAATCTCTCTCTTAAGATGGAGGTGTTTGACAATCTCAAGGTTACTTCTTCACATGTCTTATTCAATATGTTTTCTTCGTCATCTACAAGGTATATACTTCTTTTTTTGATTTCTTTAGTTTTAATTCCAAACTGGTCGGTGATTTCAATTGAGATGTAATTTTTTGTAAAGCCACAAACTACAAGAACTAGACATAATTGTCTTCTTAGTAGTCTTGTTAGACGCACTAATTGATTTTTTTTATAATTGTTTGAGGCCATGCCATTTGTCTCTAAGAGACAATAGCTATTCCTAGTATTGGCATTCAATGCCTTTATTAGAGAGCCTTGTTTTCTTACTCTGGCTCGTTATCGACTTGATGAGTTTTAAGACTATGAACTCATCTTATCTTGCTAATACTTGAATTTTGACATTTTGGACAACCTTTGATCTAATGGCCTGACTCCCAACAATAAAAATATAATTCTTTTTGCACCAATATTTGTTGTCTTTGTGGTGTTAATAATCCTTGTAGGACATCAATCTCTATTTGCATTGGTTGTTGTGCCGTAATATTAGATAGCGACATAAGACTTTATGCCATAGTTTGTGCTCTTCGATTTCTAAAATCTATAGCATCGATCCACTATGCAATCCAAATTGCCTCTTTGAATGTTTGTGAATTTCTTAGCTCCACTTTTTGCTAGACTCCAAGTTCCAAACCTCATTAGAATCCATCCATCATCTCCACCTCTAAAACATTACTAATTAGGAAACATAGGAACTTCAATTGCATGCTAACTTCTTTGCATTGATGGACCAAAATTGATTCCTAAACTTAGTCTCAAACTCCTCCCTATCACAAAATCTACATTGTGTCAATGACAAGAACATGATAAAAATAAATAAAAAAGTGAGACTTCTCTCAAAGAAAGATGACAAAATAGAAATAACTTGATATGTATATTAAGAAAAAAACTGGAATGGCTATTGCTAAAAGCCAAGAAAACTAGAGACCCTTGAAACTAGACTGGAAGCAAGAAAAGAGTTGATAAGAATGAAGAAGGCTTCATTCTTGTCTCTATATATACTATCTAACTAGGAGCTACATGGCGACATTCTATAGGACCTCCAATATGTGTTGACTTTATAGGACACATGCCTCGACTTACAAGGCAAGTTTTTCTACATTTAGGCCACATAATTA